GCTGGCGATTCATTTGCGAGCAAACTGTGTGAGCGATTCGAGCGAAAACAGTACAAGCATCACCTTGAAAGGTGGTTTGTTTGTTGCTGCTTTTTCCTTTGAGTGTATGGATTTGCCATCATCCCCTGCGCTCGCGCGAAGGGAAATTTATAAACAATTAATCAAACCATACTCCGCCACTGAAATTGGAGGCGCCGATGCATTGTAGACAAGCAATAGTGAAGTGGAACATTGTGTTTTCTCCACGGTGTCTAACTGGTCATATACTCGTAGCTCAACGCACATAGCGCGCATAGAGGTGGTAGATTCATTGGTGATCCCCCTGAAAGGCTTCTTGCTTTGAAACATCCACGGAGCTCCCAACTCCAAGCAAAATGGCTGTCAACAGACAGAATGGACCGACGTGTCAACAGTGTGTGGAGTATGTTGCCCTTTGTTTGGGGATTGCTTTGGACACAACGGTATTAGCGGCTGGGCCGTTGGTTTTTCCCGAACTCTGACTGTTCATCCCAGCACCTTCCACGCGGTCTCCAATAGTAATAGACTACCCTGCACAACTTGCAGAGCTCCATTGAGCACCCCTTTGAAGGTCCAGGTCAGGTCGATCTATTTTTGGTGAAATGATGACAGACTGCAAACCGGTACCAGAGTTGACCAGGACTACCAAACGGCCTTCCAAACGGCATGTGGTCGACCTTTCTTTTTGCATGAATAGAGAGAGGCCAATTGGCCACTTCGATCGAAGAACTTGTTTGCTTCGGTGAGGTGTTCCGAAGCGACTCGACGGAAGAAGGTCTCGTTCAAAAGCACTTCGACGAAAACGGGTCACCCTTTTGCGGTCGATGTGGAGAGTTTGATGAGGTAGTTTCATGGACAGAAGGAACATAATTCTATGGGGTGCCCAATGGAAGCCTATAGGTAGTGTGGGGTAGTTCATTGGACACCCCTTGGAGAGTCCTGGTATAAGTCTAGTGGAATAAATGTAATTTTGATGAAATCTACTCCGGCAGTGTAATCACCGTATGCTAGAGCTTTTGTGCAGGAAGCACTGAATTTGAGCTATTATACTGTCTCGTGCACACTGTAATTTGACCGGTCAAAGAATTTGATGCTCAACCAAATACGCCAAAACCCTTTACACGTTACTACATGTCCAAATTTCCTCATGCATGACTCACTAACATTTATATAGTGGTTTCCTGTCGTGTTGAACAGATGCCAGGAGTCACATGGAGGACCTGGGTGGTTTGGCTAGTCCCATCCGCCGGGGCCGTTTGTCTGTGACGTTCACCCTCCATCATGGCGATCACGCAAGCTCCGAAAAGCAATGCGGCGCCAATGTTCTTGGTTGGGAAGGCTGGGAACATCGCCACTCCCACCATCTCCGTCGCAGCCCATGTCGCTTGTATGTGTGTACTTAAACTCGGCAGGTCTCCAACCGGGTTTCCAACCAATGGGTTTTGGTCTATTTTCCTTCCAAGGGGTCTTTGGGAAGTCTCCCTACATCCATGTTTTGCTTGTATGTGTTGTTCCTACTCCGATGTGTCCCCTAAGTCTATGATTCTGAGACGAGAGCAATACGTGGGAACCAGGGATCCGATCTCCACGCGTGAAAATCTGGCATTGGAATCCAGTTTTTGTTCTAAAAGACCACAACTGACGAGGCAGAAAGTGAGTTGGTTTCGATCCGACTCATTTAACACAGCCTTCACAAACCCTCGGACAATGTCCTATGTCCCGGTGAACAGTTTCGGGGGGGAATGTGACTTGGCTGGGAGAGGTCTCGAGATCTTCACCGAGTCGAGTCGAGCGCCACCGGTGATTGGAAATCATCGCTGACACGCGGAAGTGACTCCAATGACTGGGACGAGGCCGATCGGGACGCCAAACGGAAGATGGTCTGGCACTGCCTGGAGCGTTCCCGTTCACTCTGACAGTGAAGACGCGTCCGAGACCACCCGGATCTTTGATCTTCTTTCGTTTCTGAACCTGTCTCGGGCGCTCCACGAGTTACACCTGAACCCTCCGTCGTAGCAGAAAAAAGTGACAGACAAAAAAACTGCACATCATCAAAAAAAGTGTTCATGCCTTGAAAAAGCATACCACTGGAAAGTCAGATGTAGCTTCATTCCACCTTATGTGGTCTTCAAGTCCATTCCCCTGCCACATGCTGGCACCCATCCCATGCGCACACAACACACGCTCACACACTACGAGGCGGCAGCCAGCAACCCCTTTCTTTGATCATCAGTATCAACATAAAATATTTACAGTAAGTAAAATAACAATCCGCCACTTTTTAAAATTGCGCCCGGGTTGCGGGAATTTGCGCCCGGGTTGCGGGAATTTGCGCCCAAGTTGCGGGCACCCTTTTTGGAAAAATTGTTGTAAAGCACGCCCAGAAGGTTGGAACCAAACCTTTGTGGTTTCATTTGCACATACTACTAGTAGGAGGTCATATAGGATTTCCACCCGGTCCATAGGGCCCCCCAAAGGCCCACAAGGGTTGATAAGGACACTGGTCAGGAACCAGTAGGCTTTAGAATTTACATCACCAAAAAGCGCTCATATGTCCTGAAAAGTGTACATACCCTCAATTAACGCTCAAACTTCCAATAAGTGCTCCAAACCATGGTTCGCCAGAAATAAGTGCTACAAAGGATGCTTCAGGCAGTCATGAAGGTTTGGCCCAAGTGGGGAGAGGCGGGAGTCCACAACTAGGATCCGCCGCTCCACCCTGAAAGTGCTCCAGTGGAATGCATCAGCCAGCCGAATGGACCAAATCTTGAGCTGTGAGTCAGAACAAGATGGCAGTGAGTTAGAAACCTGCAGCCACATACTCTGGCAGGTTGACCTCCCTGGTGGTCCATTCTGTTCATTCTGTTCAGCCGTGCTAGGTTGACCTCCCTGAGTTTCCTGGACTCACATCCCACGTAACATATCAGGCGTTTGACTCTTGCTAGCCGTTCGCAGAAAGCAGCATGTTTCTTAGCATGTCATTTACTAATCCCAGTCCCCTTCACAGGCAGATTTTATATATCAAATCTTCTTACTGTGATGGTGGGGCCTTTTGCTTGAACTATGTTGAACTCGATTCAGATCTATACTTTGCCAGAATCAGCGTTTGTTCACCAGGTTTCTATACTCCGTATTTGCCCTATCCTAAGAGGTTAACGGTTACCCTGGTTGTGTTTGTTGCATGTAACGTCGTTCTATTGTATGGTTTCCTGTTGGTGAACCACGTCCTGCACTACCCAACGCATGCCTGATGGATTTGTTGTCCAAAACTTGAAACGAACGAGCGAGACTCGCATCACGACAGGGATGCGCTGTCATCAACCAAACCCTGCAATGCATCACCCTTCAAGTTTGACTTCAGAAGTTAATCAGTGAGTCTGAACTTCATAGTAAGGGGAGATTACTGAGGGCAAGGACACTGACCCTTACATCAAAACCACCTTTCTCAATTGCAACAAGAATCCTAGACGTGGCTCCATCGATCAGTGGTCACCAGCATGGAGTGCGGTGACTGCAATTGTTCTTGCTCTTTGTCATGTGAATGGCCTGAAAGATTTACTTGGAAGAAGAGTCTCACATAGTTTTTCAGAAGTTGTGTATGCGCAGTGTTGAAAAAACTGCTGCCAGCAAAACATACAATGCCGACATGAGCGTTTTTGTTTGATGAGGAGTCCTGAGAGGATTTGTGTTGTTCTTTGTGTTTTTTCGTTTCTTCCACGTGAGAGTCCGCACCTGAGAGACGGTGTTTTGGGTCAATGGATCAGTTGGGTGCGTATTTGATTCAGCAGATCCCCCAATCAATGAGGTTAGTATATGTTTGAGTCTATTTGTGTTTGTTGTCCAGCAGGCTCTTTGGGAAGTCTTCCTATTCATTCCTATTCTTCGAATACAGCACCAAAATAGACCGGTCAGGTGCCAGTCCCACTGGTCATGTCAATGGGATGATTTGATCAGTGGCAGGTGGTTGGCTGGTGGCTGGCCTGGCTGGCGGGTTCGGAGCACAGGCTTTACAAGTTGTGTAACACGTAGCCTGTAGCACAGTTTGTTTTTTTGTTTGAAGCCTCTTAGTACCTGTACGTAGCTGGAATCCGAGTGATTCAAGACGTGTTCTTGTAATTATGAAGTTCTTTGAGCTTTCAGGCCTTATAAAATAGTTATTTGCCGTCCTTTTGCGATCAATTTTGCTGAACCTTTTTTCGCGTCGAGAAATCAAACAGTGCCTGGCTGCCGCGTCGGGCAGTGCTTGGGTTCCTGTGTGAAGGTTGATTGAACATCAACCCCAGAGCATCCATGGAACTGGAATAATTACCTACATGGATGGGTCATACATGGGGTCAATGTATGTAACCTCCTTTTAGTCCCATTCGTTTGCTCTGGGGTAAACCAGGTTTTTGCGGGGGTTCCCCTCGACGGAGTGGGCAGGAAGAGTAGGCCTGCAAGGGCCTGGAAGTTGCTGGACTTCAAGGAGTCCTGCACTCCTACAGGTCGCCATCGGGCCTCGTTTGGGCCCGGGACCCTTGCACTTGTAGGGTACTCTCAAGTGTAGCTACAACATTGACAAAAACACAGATAAGCCCAAGACCCTGGCCCGCGTGATTTTGGGCACATCAAATTGTCTGTCCAAGAGCAGATTTGTAGATCAATCTGCATGCTGTAAAAACCAACCCCGACAGAATCGAAGTGGAGTTTATGAGCTGTTTAGGAAAATGCTCCAACCGGCAACCCAGCTAAGCGAGTCGTCCAACGTGCGTTGAGACGACTCGCTTGACACGGAATGCCCAAATGGACCTATTGGTGAATGACGATGGAGATGACATTGACCTACATTGACTTCTGAAACCATCTTCCCAAATACCCAGACACTGCCAGACACTCAGTATACATGCATATTTACATACATGGGGGTGGTTGACCTGCATCGGTACATCTATAGAGAGAGAGAGAGAGAGCGCCCACCACACGCAGCAAAGCAGCCCCCTGAGGCTTGGTTGGGCTTCCCAATCACTGCCGCGCGCTTGGTTTGCTGGAGAGCGCCCGGTTTTGGGTCGTGAACAATTGAATTCAATCAAGGACTGCTGAAGTTAATGACCCACTAAACTCATCCCTACAGGTCAGTTTGACCTCATTTTCCTGAAGGTGATCATAGAAAGATCCTTATCATGAGGTCAGTTAGACATAGTACCAGGTTTGGGTCCGGGACCTGTACGTGTGCAGCAACCAAAAACAACGTCCCAATGCAGAACGAAAGGACCGAGCTTTGGGAGAAAGGTCCTTTTGGGCTCACCAGACTCGGCCGACTCCTCCCCAGGAAAGCGCCCGAGACGACGGACATGTCCAAAAATGTCCGACTCCACCTGGGATTTGCCAGAGAAAATGGCACCGAACACCCACCAAACCATGGGAGGTTGACCTCCCGAACAAGGAATCTGTTCAGCAGGGTGCTGGGATCATGACCCGGGGTGCTTGGGAGCGAAACGAAAGGCGGCACGCGCACGCCTCCGTGGCTCCGGTCCTTTGCCGTCAGGGCAGCGTTTGCCGCTTACATCAGCAGCACGACCTGGATGACAAGGGAGCTTTGCAGCTCGGAGTGTGTGGTTTGGTCCAACAGGACGGACCCAAAAAAAGAACGCCGCTCGCTTTTTGCCTGCATCCTTCGACCATGTGAAAGAAATTGGAAAGGACCTGTGTTTTTTTGGTGTAACATCCTGGGAAACTTGGGTTCGCCCTTGTTTCCCATTCGCTGCGCGATCCCTCCTCGAATGTCAAAAAGTGGTTTGCTCCTTGAGGAACCTAGACAGCCGAGAGTGCTATCTTCTAAGCCTTTACAAGTGTACCACATGCCAGTTGGCTAAGATAAGCCTTTTGGCGAGATAAGCCTTTGAAAGTGCATGCTCAACACTGATGTTCGGCTTGCAACTGAGATCCATGTCTATAGTAAATATGTGTGAAACTTCCGCCCTATATTGGACAATTTTTTTGGACTTTTTTCCTTTTTGACTGGCGGGGTTCTGTCAGGAACCATTGGTGCAAACACATGGGCAACCTGCGTTCCAGGGGAGGCCACCGCTATTAGGTTGGAGAGCACCTCAAGTAGGGTGGAGGCCACCGCTATTAGGTTGGAGTGCACCTCAAGTAGGGTGGAGGCCACCGCTATTAGGTTGGAGTGCTGCTGCTGAAAGTTTACTCGCCGTCCTCTTGCCGCTTTGTAGGTAGCAGGCCATGGGGCGCTGCAATTGTTTCAGCAACTCCTGTTAAAACATGTTCTATTGACGGTCCATTTTTTTGGCACACAGGCCCCAAGGTTTCTGTGCAATTGTCACCATGTAGGCCTGCACCATATATCATGATGACTCTCACGCAATGTTTGCGGCGAATAGGTTACACATGGATACACACAAACTTAATCTCTTGCGCCGCAAGAGCTGTGGACGGTGGGTTGCGCGATCCCGGCTCATGTGGCGACAGCTTTCGCTGTTCCAATCTTCGAGCAGTTCGAGGAGGTGCCACCGCCTCCGCTACCAGATTCAGAGTGTGCAAGCATGCAGTTGCAAACATTGAGCCAGTTAGGTGCAACGATTGTTTTGTGATGCGTAGTGGATTGTTGTGGCATGTCATGTTCAGTGTGAGCGCTCCACGCAGCACTTTTGCGTTGGGGCGTGCGAAGTTTTTCCCTCGCTTGATCGACCATGGCGCTTCACCAAGTGAAGCCCAACAAGAAGAAGCTCTCAAAGAGGCCCAAGAGCTGGAGGAAGAAGCGCGGTGTCAAGTTTGGGTCCATCAAATCTTTCAAGGTCTCTGTGAATGAGCTGCACCCACATCTTTCGAGCCTGTCCCCCAGCATGGTTTGAGACTCCTTTCATTTCCTTTCAACAGGTGGTGTCGGAGTTGAGTTGTGATGTTTTTACATATGGGTGCCGGGGCTATCCAAAGGAGGTGCTACCGAATGTTTTGTACCCGGAGAAGTTTGGGCAAAAGAGTTTCTGGGAAAGCTTTGTTTTTGGTTGTTTCTTCGCTAGGTCTCTAGATCACCAATTGAATACATTCAAGACACATATTACAAAGACCCTCACAGAAGAACTTCTGACGTTCATGGGTTCATGGGATATAGCCATCCTGAAGGGTTCCCGTCTTTGTCCCAACTGAGGCTGACACTTTTGATCTCCGGCGGGATGCCATATGTGTTGGCCAGCCTCTTTGCCACCGTGTTTCATTCGATGACCTCGCCAACGATTGCCTTTCAGCTGGGTTGGTGTTGAGTTGTAAGAGTCCAGTCAACACATAGACAACACAATAGACATGTAATTGTGGTGCAAACACATTTAGTGTTTGAACAACTATTGATAGCCTTTGGGGTTCCAACTTCATCTCAGGGCCTGCACTCCGTTGAGTTGTTCGCTGGGTGCAAGTCTATCACTATGGGTTTCAGGCGTGTTCATCGCATGAAACAGTTTGGTCGAGTGTATGAAGCACAGAGCATCTGAGCACTCAATCATATTCAAACCTTTGATCATGCACAAACGAGAAAACAATAACACACACAGATTAGAAAACTCATGTGCTTCGAACTCGACAGCTCCGCACTCTGCTATGCACACTGCGGCAGGTCGCTGGGCTATGCTTGCGCGAGCTTTGAGCTGAATGACAACCCAATCTCGCAGGACATCATGTCTGGACTTGGACACTCGGTGTTGAAATTCAATGCGTGTGTAGAAGAGAAGTAGGAGTGAGTGAAGGTAAGTATAGCCCAGCCCATCCTTCCAGCGATCACTTCCGGCTGTCGTGAGGCTACGCGTATGCAATTGCACTTTGCGCCAGGCTTGTTCGCTCTGAGACTTAGCCCGAAAACAACCCATGATGTAAAGGTCAGTAAGAAACCAAAGAAACAATGTCTTGACAGCGAAGCAGCTAAGTCTAAGTAAACTACTTGGTCAAAGATAGCCTCCAACTGAGGGTGGACTATGCTGGCTGGCACCGGTTTGCTCGAGCTGGGTTTGGGTGAACAGGCTTGCCTAAAATCCAAGTTTGAACCAGTTGTCCTAATATGTCCTAATACATCTTGATCTGTTGGAGCCGCTATCTACCCAACTGCGCATCGGGATTCATCGCTCAGGGGCAGTAGCCTTCGAAGCCGAGAAGAGCCACTGGGAGACTGCTCCAGGGAGTTTGTATCCATTGCGACCCTGAACTGCAATATGTATGACAAATCACTCGAAGTCATTTATATAAGTACTGCTGATTCACATGACATGGTTTCTTCCAAACATTGATGTCATCTAGGAACAGTTGGTGTTTCCACATGAAGCGGCAGGCGTTTCGATCTTTCCCACCTGTTATGCTCGGATCAAAGGCCTGTCTCGGTGTTACAGGTCCAGGCACCCGTTCACTGAGCTTCCACACCATGTCCGCCAGTGATGCAGTCGTTCCTTTCACCGCCAGCTCGGATGAGCATGAGCCGGAGCTTGGTGGGGAGTGGGATTGGCAGTCATGCCATCCGGATGAGGGTGAAGCAAAGTTTGTTGCTGCACTCCAAAAGCTAGGGATTGATTTGGCTAAAGCAGTCCCAGTTTCGATTCAAGAAGAAGCGATCTACAAGCGGGAGCCTACGTCAGATCTCCTTCGTGGGAAGTTTACAAAGACACCAACAAAGGAGCGTCTTCTGAATCTCAGCGTCATTCTTTCTTAATTTGTCGACCGTGCATATGGGTTGAAGAGTTTTTTGTCAAAAGTGTTTATTGAAGGTACTCAGGGGTCCTTTGCCGGGCAGTTGACATCTTAGGATTCGCAACTTCTGGGCCCTTCACTGCCTGCTCAAGTTCTCGGCTTTCCAAACGAGAAAGCCGAGCAAGGCAGAGCTGGAGATCGTGCTCTCTGCTTTCAACGAACACTATCAGGCACTAAGAAACTATGTTTGCCCACCTGATTGTTTTTGTACTTCCAAAGCCCATTCGCTCTCCACACCCATCTTGTGCCCGTGTGCAGGGCCTTGCTTTCCGAACCATCGAAGAGCTTGACGTGGAACCTTGGCGTGTGCTGTCAAGGGTCATGAACACGAATCAAGGGTTGATACATGAATGCCTGCAAAATAAGGAGCAGGATGCCATGATTGAAAGCAACATCGCGAAGCTCCAAAAACTTTGGAGCGGTCTCAGGAGGACACAAATCTCTTCTACTGCAATTCTTTGACGTGTTTTAGGTCAGGCTTGGACTAGCACCAGGTTGAATTTAGGCCCAAGTGAGTGTTGGTTCAAAACATGATATTGGGTGCACTTGTATGTTTGCAGGAAGTGGCAAAATGCCAAACACTCCAGCGGATCTCCGTGGGTGCAGGTGTTAAAGGATTTGATGAAGAATTATTCGTCGTCCAACTCGCCTGACCTTGAAGCAGAGACGGAACGGCTTGGTGGTTCTTCTGATCACTCCAATGCAGGGAGTTCTGATAGTGACCCTATCCCAGACGACTTCATGGGCATCAAGGACCGTCCCTTGCACGAAGGCAGCTCATCTCCAGGGTCTGACACTTGAAGTGAATCAGTTGCAAGTGCACTCTTCAATTACATAGTGGTCCCCAAGAAGATAGAAAAGTAGATCCACCATTACTATATATTGGATACGCTTCTATCTTCCTATCTTCTTTAGCAGTATGAGCTATTGTGTACCATTGTTTATGGGAGCAGGATGGAAGGATTTGATGTGCATCGCTCAGGATGTGAGCAGTGATGTGTGGAGTCGAGTCATGGTGAGGGGCGAGGCCAGTCAGAATGAGGATGAGGGCACTCGAGAGCATGTACCTGCTCCACAGCACCGTCCAAATCGTCCTTGCTTTTCTGATGAGGACATGTGCAAAACCGGGGCATGTACGTGGGTAAAGATATGATATCGGGGTCACACCAACAGGTATCAGGAAAAGGTCAGTCTCAGGGTTCAGAACGATTGCAGTCTTTTGCAACCTGAAGTTCAATCTCCCAGCTTCCAACCCTGCCACGCGCTCAACCAGGAGTCCAGCAACGATGATGGTGAAGATCTCGAGGCTGTGTCACCTGTGAATGTTGAGGGCCAAAGGAGAAAGCGGAGATCGAAGGGGAAAGGGGGTCAGAAGAAGAGGGCCAAAACAGCAGCTTCCAAAAAAACACCTTCCCCTCCCCCAGCTCCGCCAGCTGCACTAGTGCCAGCTGAAGTTGGGTCACGTGAGAATGAGGGGGGATGTCATTAATTCTTTTGATGCGGCCTATGTGGACATCATCAAGGGTCTCCCCGAGATCTTGCAGCCTACAAGTACTCGACATGGAAAACATTCGTACACAGTGTATCTTAGCTGAGTGGTCCTTTCAAGCAAGTACACTGTCTGTGCACTTTACTCAATGTATGCTAGTGAGTGGTGATGACTCCAAGTACCTCCAACCAATCCCAACCCATCGATCAGAAGCTAGCTTAGGTATGCTTCCAAAAAAAGGCCGTGTGGAGGTCTTGTTGCGGCAGCGCGCCTTGAAACCAAAGAGTGATGATAAGGGCGAGCTCCTGAAAGCCAACTCGACGCTTTGTTCTATGTTTAATTTGCACGAATCAACACCTCCCAGTAA